TAGTGCCCAGAGTCAGAACTAAACATGGGGAGGCTGCTTTTCAGATTCATGCTGCTAAAATCTGGAACAGTCTTCCTGAAGATGTGAGACAGGCCTCCTCTCTGACAATGTTTAAAACCAGGTTAAAGACAGTTCTGTTTAACTGTGCATACAACTGAGGGATTTTATATTTTTATCTTTCTTTTTAATGTTCTGTGATAATTTATGATTTTTATGCTTTCTTGTTTTGTTCAGCACTTTGAATTGCCTTGTGTATGAATTGTGCTATATAAATAAACTTACCTTGCCTTGCCTTGCCATTACTCATTTATTGTAAGTTTATTTAAAGCTTGGCTAAATCACTCAGGATTTTCTTTGAATTGAACTCACTCTGTTCAAGTAAGCCTCACTTTTGACATTTTGACATGTAGGGCAGGGGTGACCTGGTGGGTGACCTGGTGGCTGAGCGGGTAGCACCTTCACCTTCCAGGTTATAAGTACGAATCCCGGTCAGAACATAAGTTGAAATTTTAACTTTATCGCAATCACGTGAGCTTACTTGGTAATATCAAGTAAAGGATGTACTCAAGAAATTCAAGTGAAGTTAATATGCAATTTATTTCCAAGGTTTTTTCAAGTAAACTTTACTTGTCAGGGTTTACAGTGCTGTGCTCCTTAGAGTCTGGTTCATATGGCAATAAGATGGCATGGATGTATTTTTATTTGAGGCCATAAAGTCTATTCTTTGAGCCACAGGAAACATACATTCAGTCATACATACAGTACATTTTAGGGCTACAGCATCTTTTCACTCCTGACGAAGCATAAACTGGAGTGAGAAGAAGTGAAACTTATAAACTCCCACTCCATTTACCTATACACTCAGTTTATGCCTTCCTTTTAATTTAAGGAATTTTGCAGTCAAGAACATAAGAAAATAGTACATAATTTACCACTATTCAAGAGGATAGATTCAAACACGACTCTCTCATTTCAAAACCCAGAAAAATCCCCTTGAAAATATAATCCAGCGTGAATTTGTGTGAGGGTTGAACACGTCTGTCAATACAGTGATTACGGAGACAAAGTGAAATTTTATTCACCCGCAACCTGGGTTTAGACACGTAAGAGTATAATAGGAAGCATTAGAACTCCATCAAAGCAATGGCTCTGTCTGCAATGTGGTTTTTGTATAGGCTTAGACGAGAATCCAATTGTAAAGTATATCACACACACTTTTCAAAGCATAGACACACTAAAGCTGGGGTACATAACTTCAAACCATTGATATTTAACCATGCAATAAAATTAAAATGTTTCAAAACAGTTGGGTATCACTGGCTTTCACATGCATGGAATTTTTCCCTTTTTCACATCTCCAGATCAGCTCATTCAGACAGAAAAGTGAAAAAGATTGGACCACCCTCAAAGCTCTCAGCCCAAAGCTTCAAACAGTGACTCACAGGGTTCTTAACATTACTCTTTCTGTCGGGACAAACAACATGGATTATTAATAAGAAGAACAAGCTAGAACCGCAGCTTTAAGGAGATCTTTTAGTCTAACAAAACAAGACACAAAATCCAATCTCTGGCCCACTGACAATTTCTATGGAAAATCCTCTTGCAAACAGTCGCACTATTCCAGTATACATTTAAAACAATGCTGTGCAGATAATCCATCTCTCTGACATATTAAGATTCCCCAAACGTAAACTACTAGCCCTTCTATTACAGCTTCTAATTTGAACCTGGAGATGGAAAGTAAACAGTTGGCACAGGGCTTTCTTCGTCGTTGATTTTTGTTCTCGTCTGTGGAAATAAACACTAACATTCTTGTGCGTTAATAAAGACTTATTCAAGTCTGCGTGTCAGCCAGCCATTCAGGTAGCTCATTCCAAACATACCTGCACCATTGAGGCTATCTCCAGAGGACATTCGAAAAACATTATTATTAGTAGTTCTGGGCAGTTTCAAAAGCAACAAGAGCCTACAGCTAATACCCAATGATTGCGCTGTGAGCTTCAAAGCCAAACGTACGTGGTTTAATGATGTGACTATATAGAGGAAATGGTACCACTATTGCATTCCTTTTCAAGTCAAGTGGAAGATGTCAATTAGTATTAGCATTAAGCCTAGGTATATAATGTTACGTACTGTATGTGCTCGCTGAAGAGTAACTGAGAACAGATTTTCAATAATGGTATGAACGCAATAGCTGCAGAACACAAGGCGTTTGTTCAAAAATATGGGGACAATAAACTTGTTTTAGCCTTTTTATTTATTTATTTTGTATTATTATATATCAAAGTTCAACCTTCACTGGGTGTCTCTTATCTCATTTGTCATCTAGTAACTTTTCAAACCATGTATAGGTATTTATTTATTATTTTCTACTTTTTAGTGATTTTTTTTTTTTTTTATATCTTGAGCATGTTTGAAACATATATTACTATATGTTACATAGGTAGTAGTAGGAAGCTGTGATTTAAGTAATGTCTTTAAGGAAAGCATGGGTCGGATTATCTGTTTTTCTTTATCCAACCTCATATTGAGCATGAATAGAACTCTTGTAATATGTATTCAAGTTATTATTAGTAATAAATGTATTGTTGTCATTATTATATGCTCATAGATAGATGGATAGATAGATAATTTATTGATCCCCCTCCATCCATCCATCCCTTTTCTTCCCCTTAATCCATTTCTGGGTCAGGGGGGTGTCAGTCAGAGCAGCACCCAGTACACTGAGCACCAGTCCCTCACTGATCCTCCTGCAGGTGGTGAGTTCACAGGAGCCTTGATCTTCCAGCGGGGGCTGTCCTTGCTGTCCTTGGGCAAGTGTCTTGCCCAAGGACACAACGACAGTAGATCAGTGGGAGTCGTGAAGTAAGTCTTACGGTGGGCTCGAACCCATGACCATCAGGCCCAAAGGCCAATGCTCTACTAACAGAGCCAATGTCGCCCCTGTAGGAGAAATGCATTAAATTAATCTACCTGCTCAATATAAACTTAATGAATGGAATAGCCTCATACCCACTGAGACAAAACACCAGAATTTCAATCAAAAACCTTAGATTCTTCCTTCCACTCTGATCTGGGCTGATGTGTCCAAACCACTCGCCATTTCCCCAACCTTGTGATCTAGTTGTTTTGCCAAATATAGCAATAATTTCTTTATAGGCCATTTATTGCATGTGGGTCAAGTGAACAAGATTATATAACAACACACCTGAAGGACACTACTTTACATAATGACCACATAACAAGCCGTGAAGCCTTGTTTGGGTGAGTGAAGCTCCTACCGTCAGAGTTTGGAATGTTGCTCTTTTCTTTTTTTCTTCTTTTTTTTTTGAAGTTGTCTTTATGATAAATAAGTTCGAAAAAGTTTATGAGTTTAGTTAGGACAATGTGCAGTTACATTAAAAAGATGGCTGCACCAGATATAGCACCACTCTACTTTCCATCTGTAGTCCTTGACAATACAATCATTAAACACACATTAAAATACATTTCAATAAAAAGTTGCCAAAGTAGTTACAGTCACAAAGTACAAAATACAATATCATATGGAGAATTAGGAAATTACTGGTATATGGTGTAATACAAAGGTGCAGTACAGTATCTAGCAGCAACACATAAAGTGCGATATTACTGGATGTTGTGGATAATAAGCTTCCCAGGGTCCATCATGATGTGATTCCCGGGGAAGTGACTTTAGAAGACTATTTTTAAAGTTGGAAGTTTCTTTTCTACCTTTTTTTATTTTGACACGTTCCTGCATTCCCACTGTTGTCCCGGGTCGATGTCATTTTAACACGTGTCAAAAATCAGGGCCACAGTAGGAAAAATAATATCGATTTGGTCCAAGATTTTTGATCCCATGATGTATATTTACTTAGGTCCTATTTATCCAAGTTTATTCCTACTGGTTTTGTTCCATGTCTAAATGTAACTGTGTGCTGTGTGACGGTGAGAACGCAGACTTGGTTCAGCAATTATAGATGATATGATACCAATTACTTTCCTGCCAATTCTTTTCAGCAAATATTATTAACGTATGAGGCAGAAGGGATCAAACAATGCCAACATTTTTTAGCTTTTTTTATTTCAAACCAGTGGCATAAAAATGGCAGAAGACACAGAACAGGCAGACCTTGCTGAGCTGTTTTCATTGGAGCCTGTTGGAATGACATGGGTCTTGTTGAGGTAAATCTGAAATAACAGTGAGCTTCAATAATGCCAACCAAAGCCAAGAGTTTAAATAGTTCATTCCACTGTGACTCAAATTCGCAAGCTTAGGTCAGATAAAGCTCCTCTTGACCCCAGATGTACCAAAGTATTTGCCGATAATAGCGGCTCATATGGCTGGGAACCTTTTGGCCATTAAAAAAATATATATACTGAGACTTTTTACTTTTATGTTTTAGAATGGTAGGAAATAAGGGAAATAATTGTGAAGGGTAAAAATGGATTCCCACTGTAACTCCCTATGCTACCACCAGAGGGAGCAGTTGAATTTTGTGATTGTAAAGAACCTTCATTTTGAGCAATTTCCAAAACTATTTAACGGGCTATACTTATGTTGTAAAAGACAGACCACTGCTGAGTGTGATGTCATAGTGGTACAGTGACAATACTGAAGGGACGCAGTGACGTGTTTGCGCCAGACTGTCCTCATATCAGCATGGATGGAGCTAAAAAACAGCCCCAGGTTCGTTTTTGATGAGTTATTGTTACTGTACGTCTAAAGGTATCATATAATTAACAGGGTGAATCTCTGACCCAAATAACAAACCATTTGTGCCAACGCTAATAATACCAGGCACAAACCATTAACAGTGCCACAAAACCATTACGCACGTGGAGAGGTACGTGGAGCGCGCGTAAACTCTGGACAGTGTTTCTTTAAGAATGTAAGGTGGGTGAGCCCCCTTTCCTGACGCGCGCCTGGTATGCAAACATAAATTTAGCAGCAACGTGTTTGCTGCTGGAACAAAATATCTGGAAGCGGCCGTGAAGTGTCATGTCTTCTGCAGAGGCGCACAAATCCTCTGGGCTTCCTCTGCGCGCGTTTGAGTAGCTGCGGGAAAAGAAAATAAAGAAGAGGAGAAGAATCACGCACATACACACACACGCTCTCACGCACGGAGCCGTACACGGGGGAACAGCGGGGAATACGCGCACTCCTCACGGGGATCACAGAGATGACCGGAGGCTGGCTGTGGACGTCTGCGCTGCTGCTGCTCCTCACGGTGTCACGGCTGAAGGTAAGAAACAGACGCAGGTTTCTCATTCACAAACCAGAGCGCGTTCCCCTCTGACACAGACGCGGCGGCGAGTCTGTCTGTCAGTCCAACTGGCTTTAATTGGAGCGTTTATTGGGACAGTTACGAGGCACCTGTTGCTTGTGCCCTTTTCCTCCGTCTAAAAATGGAAAAAATATAGAGCTCTTGTGATGATCTCGTTTCTTTCTTTCTTTCAGTGTGATTAGGAATGATCTGCTGTTTGCTGAACTTGAAAGAAATGCTGAGGTTGAGTGGAATAGATTCTAAGCTCATTTGGTCATAGAGCCGGGTGTTTGTCAACCAGTGTGGCGTGGCCTTTTAGTGTGCCCCGAGATGCTTTGGTATTGATCCAATATCATCAAATTGAACAGAACGATATGTAAAGAAAATCATGTGAGAAGAAATAGAAGATTTTCTGTATGATACGCTTTCATGAGTTGTTCTTTGTCGATGCGTGAGGGTCTAAGGACAGTAACGATCCAGGATATTTACATTGATAGACACTTATTAGCATTAATGGGCATTGGTCATCCCCGCTCCCAATGGGCCGATGGCTGCTATGTGTTGAATTTCCTGTTTTAGAACTGTTTTATTCTCTAATCTGTTGTTGGTGCATCAGTAACTTTGTAAAGTCCTCCGAGACGACTGCTGTTGTGATCTAGGGCTATACAAATATAAATTAAATTGACTTAAATGAATAAAGGCAGCAGAGTTTCATCTTTTGGTATGGCATCTGATGTTTTTTTTAAGGTGTGCCACAGTTGAAAACGTTTGGGGAACACTGATACAGCCTGATAGTCTGTCTGTCTCATTACAGATAAGAAATATAGAATAACCATTATTTTTACCACAATGGAGAAATTGCAATGTCCCAACAATTCAAGAGACAGATATCGGGAAGCATTTAAAGCTGGGGTACCTTACTTTTGATTGCACTCATAATTCATGTTTGACCCAACAGACAAAAAGTCTTCATCTTATTAGAAAATATATATATTTTACTCGTAAAAAAGAGCCACCTGAATCAGTATTTGGCTGTGAGCTGATTGGCTGAGGGAGGGTGGTCTTCCCTTCTCTGTCTGAAAAATCTAATAAAACATGCATGTGAAACTAATGATAGAACCAAACTGCATTGAGATAGTTTGTTGTCATGTATTAGATTTAATTTGTCTGTGGCTTTAGATACCCAAGCTTTAAGATTAAATCGGCTCTTGTGGGAACACATTTGGGCTATATCTCACACACAACATGTACAAATATTAGCGTCATAGCCTCCCCAAATCTGTTAATAATACAAACAGAATAAAGTAGTATCCACCCATGAGAATACAGAGGCTTCAGAAACGTCAGTGTTCCCCAACCTTTTTTGAAAATGATCACCCGGCACACCACCAGATGAAACCCTGCAGCCTCTATTAACAAATCAAAGTCATTCTCATCATATGGAAAATCAAACAAGCGCAAAAAAAAAAAAAATTATCTTCTCACTATATTTTCATTTCTTTGTGAAAAACTCCGGCCTACGTCATGGTCTCCTCTCTCATCCATATCACGTTTTGGCTTCTGTATGCTCGCTTTTAGCCGATAGTTATTCCACTCAGAATGTCCTCACTCGACAAAAGTCTTTGAAAACCCACACAATAGATTACCTACGGGGATTTCGGTGTCATCTTTCAAACACGCAATCCCTCTCCCTCTCATTGCTCTTACGCCGAGAAAAAAAATGCAGTGTCAGCTTGTTTTTGACCCTACTCCCTTTGGCGCTTTGTAGATTAGCAGCATCCTTCCTGTCATGTTGCGTGGAGTTAAACGCTGTCCTGGAAACTAATGTAAGGTTAAACAGCAGGGCGAGATGTCAGCTTGTGTAAATGACCGCGACAGGTGCTAATGGGCCACTTCAAGGTGATCGGGGCTTGTAGACGCTCCGGCTGGCTGAGCTGTAATTAGTGTCAGTGACAGAGAAGCGGAGAAGGTTTGGGGACTCTTTCCAGGCTTGTGTGTGTGTCTGTGTCTGTGTGTGTGTGTGTCTGTGTGAGCGTTGGGACATTCATCTGCTGGGCATTGGCTTTGAAGATGTTTGAAAAGAGGTCTTTGAAGAAACATAGACCTGTGTCATGTCTTTCATTAATGCTCCGTTGTTATTGCTGTGTTGTAAGCATCACTCGCGGTTTAAGGTGGAACTCAAAATAAGTGAGCTAACGGAACGGTTTGAACTGTATGTCGTGTGTGCGTCTGTGTTTGTCAGGTTTGGCTCATTGTTTGAACTGAATGGCCACAGCTGCCTTTCCATGTTCCAAAACAAATTGAAATAATTTTTTTTTATTATAGTTAGCTATTAACGACGTTACTCTATGAGTGAATTGTGCCGGAATCAAGTCAACTTTAGCCCTGTTTCCACCAGCCCCACTTATCTCTACTCTTCTCGGCTCTACTCTACTCATCTCTATTCTACTCTACTCTACCGCTCTCTACACTTCTCTACTCTACTCATCATCAAAAGACATGCCTCTAGTTGCCTTGCCTCTGTCAGTGTGCCCCAGGGCAGCTGTGACTTGGTAATAGTGTAGTAAGCGCTGTATAAATTGATTGCATGCATCATATATAACTTTTTCAAATGGAGCTCTCTTGAAGTAAAACTTACAGGATTTTAAAAACCACATCCACAATATCAATGTTGGTCAGAAACATTACACTTGGATTGGATTGTTTTTAACTAAACTGTAAAGCACTTTGTGTTACACTTTTTGTATGAAAAGCGCTTTATAAATAAAATTTGATTGATTGATTGATTGACTTAGATATTTTGCCAAAATTGTTGAGCCTTAATGAATAGAGCAGTTCTCACATGTGGATAAAACAAACACAAACTGTGGGAGAAAAACTTCAGCAAATGACAATGCTCTGATGGTGAGTTAAACAGAGCCGTATGGTTGTATTGTCAGTGTTCTGGTAATTGGTGCTTTTTGTATAACGGTCTATGGAAGCCGAATCAACAAGTGAGTAATTTACAAAAATCTGGACTTCAGTAATCTGCTTGTTGTGCTTATAAAAATATGGGATGTGTTGATTGGACATTAACATAGAAAAAGTCTATGCACTAGAACTAGGCTGAGAGCTGATGGGCTGAGTGGAGGAAAGGTGGTCATGTCTTTTTCACTTTTCTTCCTGGAAATACTGATCTTCACAAGTGACAGAGGCAAAATCTACATGCATGTGAACGCTAGACGAGGTTAGACCAATGAGGGATTTCAATTTAACTTTATTACAGACTCTAGGTCTAATTTAAAACATACAAACAAGACAAAAAATCACAAACAGACAGCTACCAGTGTCTCCACATCTTGTAATGAAATCGAGTGGAACCTGAAGATTGTTTTTTGTTTTTCTGACTTTAGTCGATGAAATTGTGCCTTAAGATAAGATCCCTCAATTGGGAAATGGACATGTCACATTTGGCATTGATAGTAACTAGGGGTGGGAACCTAAGGGTACCTCACGATACGATACGATACACGATACAAAGCTCACGATAACGATATATCACAATAGCGATATGAGGATTATCGATATATTGGTCAGAAATATACAATATGCCAATTTATGGCATAAATAAAAGAAAAAATACACTTTATTTCATGATAAATGGAATGGACATGTGTAATGTAGCCATATATTAAGTATTGATACCAATTTTAAAAAATAATTTGTTAAAAAAAATATATATATATATATATTTTAGAGGTGCAACGGTTCATCACTGATCCGTGATCCGTTCGGTTCAACGTCTTCGGTTCGGTACAGACGTGATCCGCGGTTTGATTTATGAATAAAAAGTTGTGCGCACATTGTTCAGTCCACACACAGCGCGGTCATTGCGAGCGGAGGAACGGAGATGCTTGTAAGCCCTGCGTCATTTAAATCCCCAGTATTTTGGCTTCACTGTAACTACACTGATAATTAATATTCGACAAAACTGTCACGATGTGTAAAGTCAACTCTCCCGTGCATCCTCAGCTGCGCTCACGACTGACGCTTGGACGTCCCGCGGAACCTATAATAGATCCATGAGCAGAACCGCTCACTTCATCACCGCAGACTGGGAGATGAAAAGTCTGGCGCTGCAGACACGCCCCCTCTACGACAGTCACACTGTCACACAGCGCAGGTACTGACACAAGCAGCGGAGGAATGGAAGACAAAGGCCCAGTACTAATATCTCAGTCACAACTGATAATGCCAAAAATTAAATAAATGCAGTGAATGAGGCTGGGCCCAGAATGGACCGCCTCCTCGGGAGAATCAGGAAGGTGGTTTAATATATGAGGGTAACGATCCTCATAAAGTGCCTTCTTATGTTGCACTTTGTGTTGTTTTTCATTAATTATGTTAAATAGACATAATTGGATGGATGGAATATGCCATCCATCCATCCATCCATCCATTTCCTTCCCCTTAATTCATTTCTAGGTCAGGGGGGGCAGTCAGAGCAGGTGCCGAGTCCACATGAGCTGTGTTTATTAAAAAGACAAAACTTTTTTTTTGAAAAATGAACCGAAAAATGAACCGAACCGTGGCCTCTGAACCGAGGTACGAACCGAACCGTGATTTTTTCAAACCGTTGCACCCCTAATATATTTTTTAAATCGATATCGATACTTGGGAAAGGAATATTGATAATCGAATCGCGGGAGAAAGTATCGCGCACAATTTCATCGACTAAAGTCAGAAAAACAAAAAACAATCTTCAGGTTCCACTCCTAATAGTAACATTCAGGTTGTGCAAAAGTGTGCAAACAGGGTCCTCAGCACAGCCTGTAAAATGTCCACTCGTGAAGTGACAAACCGCTCAAACTAAAATAACCAAACAGATTTCATCAGATGGTTAATTTTTATATGTAGTTTGAACTCTAGATACCCCAGCTTTAAGGGCTATAATTGCTATTACTCTTTGACAACATGATCGCAGCTGTTTCTCTCTGCTGTGTTTTGGCCACAGACAGTTACTGTA